GTGTGTGTGTGTGTGTGTGTGTGTGTGTGTGTGTGTGTGTGTGTGTGTGTGTGTGTGTGTGAGAGAGAGAGAGAGAGTCAAGGGGCGCGAGAGAGAGAGTTGAGTTGAGGCGAACTGCGGCAAAACGGTCCGTGCGAATGCGAATCAAGACACCTGAGTGATTGACAAAAATCAGATATTACACGAAGAGCAACATCGCCATCACCCCCCGTGCCGGATCAGCACACCCCAAAGATCAGGATAGCACCTGAAGGCAAAGCGGTCCCCCGACCGGTTTCGTCCGTTCCGCAACGGATCCTCATCAGGAGGGTGGATCGAAATCCTTCTGCCGAAAGAGACGGCGATCAGCCATGCCATCTCGTATCTATACTTTCCACACTAGTGTGCACTCACCACGCTGCGCAATGGTCCAAGCGCCTGCACTCTGCACTTGGCTCAAGATCATCAACTCCTCAGATGTGCCTTCTGTCGYCACAGAAGTCCCCACCCGTGCCAATCCTAAGTCAGGCCAGTCATCAACACTTACCTCGAATAACCTCCGATCATCCCAAYGTCTGATCCTTCCCTATCCATCCCTAAGAGCACACGTGTCATCTTCGAGAAAACAGCGSAYCCTAAGGCTAACTCACCTTCCTACTTCGTCAAGAACAGYGTTACTCCCCRTGCGCTCATCCTTCCTGCGTCTCAAATAGTATGATAATCGATTTTCTCCAYAGTGAACATCCATTATCTCYCGTATGTAGCCGTAGTGGTCCGTAGCTGACCGTAGCGGACCGGGGCTGGGGCTGCGCCGAGGTCCAAAAACTTTTTCCCATTCATATCCCCTGACCTGTTTTTTWAATATATGGCCGAATAGATTGAGACAAAACATCAGCGTGAAAAAGGGAAATAAATAAAAWACATAAAAGGCGAAAAAATCCCGCTCGCCCAAAGAGAAATAAATAAATAAAAACTTTTAAAATTTGGGAGCGTCTCGTATCGTCCYGTCYTGCCCCGTACSGGAGCTACTACCACTATTATAAAGACCTGCCGATTTTACGGATATTACGATCYGGGTATCGCAAGAACAGGACCCAACATTATGTCATCMTGTTTCTATCTGAAAAACCAAAAATGAATAAAGGGATAAAAAGAATAAAAACCCTCCTACCCCACTGCCCTCCTTGTCGGCCTCCCGACTTGCCTTTGCAGATTCGCGAATGCCTTCCACAGGGTTCTCAGTGTAGCTTCATCTGCAGCTTTAGCCAATTTGGCCAAAGCGTCGAGAGAGACCTCCGGGGGGTATCCCCGGAGGTGTGTTTCCCAGATAGCATATGCGATCGGGCCAATGGCCAGCGCCTTACTGGTGGTCTGCTCCCACAGTCTACGCAGTGTGGCGGAAACCACCGCCTTCTTGGTCCTCTTTTCTGAGAAGGAAGAAAAATCCTGCATGGGCTGAAAATGCAGCGTGCCGGACTCCCTCAAAACAGCTGTGTTCTTCGTCTTGGGTACAAAATGCACTTGTACTGGGTTTGCTGCCACGTATACGTCCCCTCCGATAAATTGCCATGTGTTGTATCGCTCATCCTTTCGTACGAGCTGCAGATGGTGGTCGTAAATTCCTTCGAATTCGTCGAAAATCCTGGTCGCTCGTGTCACATCCTCAGCCAAATGCCCGTGGCCGACAATGATCGAGACATCATCCATAATTCGTACCCCGTATACCAATGCCCGATCCGCACCCAATTCCAAAAGGAACTTGAATTCCGCCATTGCACAAGTGATCGACGCCAGCACCGGACTTGTCAATTTTCCCATAGGGATCCCGAACACCTGTCTTTCAATCAGTTTCCCGCATCTGACGAAGGCGTTCCTCAAATCGAACCGCACGACCTCCATAATTTGTTCCAGTGTAATGGTCACAAATCCTTTCGCGTACTTACCCCTCCTGCTCAAAGTGCAGAGCTTTCCTCTTCTCGACACCCTGACTTGCTTCCATCCTCGATCCCCAAACCATCTCAGAAGCTCCCCGACCGACTGCATCACCGCCTCGTGCGGTATCCTGGCAAACATATCCTTTATATCGTAACATCTGCCCAATGCTCCGATCGCCCCCTCCTTCCTCATTCTAAAATTCACAGCCTCCAATCGGGTGCTCAAAACAACCACCGAATTCATGTACATACTCCCCCTCTCTGGGAACATAACCATCAGATAGTGTAGCGCCTTCGCTACCTGCTTCTGCACCAAAACAGCAGGATCCGCGAAGGATGGAGCAATTGGTTTATATTTGCTCAAATCCTTGTCTTTCGGAAGGACAAACGTGGCTCCAATCTTCCCATCTCGCTTCCAGTCTCCGATCTTCCCGAATCCCAGTCTGTTAAACTCCTCTCTGTAGTTTCTCAAAATCGTGGTCTCTTCCGACAATACCTTCTCGTAGCTTGCATTCCACACAAGTGCACACCCGAACCCGTGCCTATATAAAACTAGGCACATCACGGCCGTATCTCCCTGGTTCCTATCCACAGGAGCTAGCACCAGTCCACGAAACCTCATAGCCCAGACCTTCACCTCCTGGTCTGACCAAGCCGTGACAGTCATCGCCCTGATCCTAAACACTTGCCCCCTATCCACCGTGGGCCTGCTGTCAGGTTTCAGGTGTTTTCCAACCTCCCAAATCCTTTGCGATATAAACCCCGGATAACGATTTCCTTCATGATTCGTGATGTTCCGGCTGTTGCGCAAGAAGATCGGTACAATCGTCATGTCAGTAAACCGTGTAAGGATATGACCATCCTTCTTCGCCATATTGAAATCTGTGCATCTGCAGCCCACTGGTTCTGTTGAGGATGCCTTCTTATGGTTATGGATAATCTCAGCCACGGTTCTGTTCCTTGTCCAAACCACCTGAATCCTGTCCTTTACCGCGTTCGCAAGTGCCTTGTCCCGGATGCATGCTTCGACCATATTCTCCGCAGCCCGCCTGACCTCCTGTCTCACAACCCTTGGATCATATGGCAACTTCACAGTAATCCGTTTCCTGATACTTATCCCCGTCTTCGTGCGTACCGCCTTGTCTAACTTGATCCGAAGAGCGTTCTTAGTCTTCTTCTTCGAGAATAACCCTGCTGCCTTGTACATCCCGACCAACTTGTTGATCGTACACCTACCCAGACAGCAAGCCAGCCTAGGAGTATTCAGAAGCCTTCGCAGTTCTTGCTTATTCTGCTCCGTTGTCGTCCTCGTCCTGCGGATCTTCTCGAACGTGACCCGCCCTCCGTGCTGGAAGTCCTTCTTCACATCCCTCAGCAACCTTCTACTAAGTCCAACCCGCACGTCTGAAAGGTCGAATCTCCTCTTAATTTGTTTCCAGTTATCCACCCATACCGTCCCTGTTCCGAATGACAGCGTTCTGTTCCTCCGATTGTCCATATGAGCTTGTTCCAACCAGATCAGCAGCGATATATGCGCCGTGGTCCCTTCGTAAAAGGTCACCATACTCCTGACCTCCGCCCCCCTCTGTCGCGTTCCCTTCGATCTTTGTCTTCTCCATCGTCTCCCTCTCCGGCGTGCATTCCCCTCCTTCTCCCGCGTCTTCCTTCCGCATGTATTCAAACTGGGGGACAGATCTTGAATCAGATGCTTCTCAAAGGCCAGGTCTTCGTCTCTATCAATATGCGCAAGTGGAATGACGAGAAAACGCTCCGGTCCGATACGTCTCATCCACCGGTAGAGAACCGGGGATAACCCCAATGCATTCGTGTATGCATTCGCCAGATGCTCCCGCCACCTTTGCAAGATGGTTCTTACCGTACATCCCACGTATGTCTTCCTTGCCCAAGGACATACGATGACGTATACTCCGGCAGAATCCAAATTGATCAGACTGTTGAATCCCCCGACCTCATCGCATCTCATCACCTTGTTCAAGTACTTCTCCACCCAAGGAATCTGACCTCGTATCGTGAGCAGAATCGTCGTGGACGTAATAACCCTTTCGACGTTTGCCATACCTGCCATGTTTACACCCTGCCCCCGTAGGGTCGTCCGGTGCGCTATGTACTCGTTCAGAGTCTCCCATAGGCAACCGATCGTAGGGGGCTTCCACCGTCACTGGGAGCCCAAATCTGGCATACCGATCGCTGATCGCAGGAGCACCCGTTCTGACCTTGGCCGTGGTGTCACCTTTCCCGCCACTAGTGTCACCACCTCCGGAGACCTCGCAGCATCCCCCGCGGCTACCTGCCGAACTTTCTCCTCATCGAACCCGTCGTATGCAAGCATCACTTGTCTCTTCGCTAGTTCCTCAATTATCAACGGCTTCCGTGTGTATTGTATCCCTTCTTGTGTGCATATCTTCCTGAGCGTGGTTGCCTTCTCTTTTGAGTACAGCTTGTGTGCAGACAAGCAGTACTCAATCATCCCTTTCTGGGAGCATTCCGCAGGCATGTGCTTCGTCCCAACCGGAGTGGCCGGTTCTTCTGACCCTCTATGCTCCGGACTTTCCCGTCCTCCCCATCGTTGTTTCCCCTTGGAACACTCTCCCCGTTCAATGACATGCTGTTCTTGATACTCCAACGGCGACCCCCTCTTTTTTCCGTTGTTCTTGGTTCGCTTCTTTCCCTTATTCTTCCGCTTGAGCTTCAAATCCTTCCTCGTTTTCCTCGATCTTTCATCTTCCAGATCCGATTCAGAGCTCTCTTCCATGTCAGTGGTTTGCTCCTCATCTGATGAATCCGTCCCCCCGCTTGAATTGTCCGGTTCCTTGTTTTTATCCCACCTCTCCTACAGTCCTTACGAGACTTCCTCCCCTTTCCCCTCCCCGGGGTATTCCTCTGTATCGTGGCGATATTCCCATTCGTCATGGTCTCAACAGTTCTCGCCGCACATGCTGCCTCGACCGCCTTCAGTTCCGCCACTTTTGTTGCTTCTGCCACCGTCGACTCCTGCTGCTTTCTCCACTGGCTCTTAATATCGGCCCTTAACTCCATACGGATTTCCTCCGTAGCCCGCACCAGATCAAGAGCCCTGCGCCTCTCCTCGTCGTCCTTGATCCTTTTCTGCTTCTCCACCCTCTTCCTCTCCTCTGCCTCCTGCCTTTCCTTAATCAAACTCCGATAGTGATCCATCATATCCTCCATCTCACGATCCTGATTGGATGGTTTCCCCTGCCTCGACCAACAGTCTCTGGCAATATGCCCGTATTTTCCGCAATTATAGCACGTAATACTATTACCGCCCCCGTTCCCTCCTCCGTATCCACCACCGCCTCTTCCATATCCGTTGCTGCCACCGTTTCCGCCGTTCCCACCGCCATACCCTCCATTTCCCCCTTCACCAAAATTTTGCCCGTCGTTCGGACCATTATTTCTAAAACCTCCGTTTCCTCCGTACATCTTTTCTCCTCCGTTCGTGATCCGCTATCCTCTCCTGTACCCACAACAACTGTGACGTGATAAAGTATCTCTCCCTAACACACCCTCTGGTTTTCAACAACCCTGACACCTTCACACCTCTAATACTTTCTTTCGGCTAAAACAATCGCGAACAGCGCTTCACATCTGATCCGTAGTAGACATGGCCACCGTACAAGCCGAAAAAACTCGCGGTTGCCACTATCCCTCGAGTTGAGGTGAACTACGGCAAAACAGTTCGTGCGAATGCGAATCAAGACACCTGAGTGATTGACAAAAATCAGATATTACACGAAGAGCAACATCGCCATCACCCCCCGTGCCGGATTAGCACACCACAAAGATCAGGATAACACCTGAAGGCAAAGCGGTCCCCCGACCGGTTTCGTCCATTCCGCAACGGATCCTCATCAGGAGGGGGGATCGAAATCCTTCTGCCGAAAGAGAYGGCGATCAGCCATGCCATCTCGTATCTATACTTTCCACACTAGTGTGCACTCACCACGCTGCGCAATGGTCCAAGCGCCTGCACTCTGCACTTGGCTCAAGATCATCAACTCCTCAGATGTGCCTTCTGTCGCCACAGAAGTCCCCACCCGTGCCAATCCTAAGTCAGGCCAGTCATCAACACTTACCTCGAATAACCTCCGATCATCCCAATGTCTGATCCTTCCCTATCCATCCCTAAGAGCACACGTGTCATCTTCGAGAAAACAGCGGACCCTAAGGCTAACTCACCTTCCTACTTCGTCAAGAACAGTGTTACTCCCCGTGCGCTCATCCTTCC